TGCAGTCCAGTCGGATCGGGGGGAGGACAGCTCTTCCGGTCGAGCTGTGGAAACAACTACACTTTCAGTCATTCCATCGCCTCAAGCGATCCAGACTGGCCACGTTGTTGTGCTCACTTTTGCGTCATTTGGTGCACGCTCGAGGGCCGTGTCAGGAGCCCAGTGACAAGGTGGACCAACTGCCTCCTCCTTTTCGGAGCAGGTCGACTTTGGGAGCGACATGGAGGCTTCTTCGTAGCCCAACACTTTCACTCGAAATGGAAGTAAGCTGAAACATTGTCTTATTATCCCGTAGCTAAGCAATTTCTTGTCGTCTCGTCTTAATTAAAGCCGGGACCCTTTATGACTTCTGAGCAGTAATATTCTAGACTTTTTGCAAATCCTCCGGAGTGAGAACTCTGCCTAGATCCTTCCTAAATCTTGACTTTATATTTAAGACTTTAAAAAGCTTACTCGAAGCCATGAAGAACAAGATGTCGTGGTCCATGGTATGGGACCAGTCCCCTTTCGACTCATTGAAGTGGGTTGCTCTCGTTGTCGCAACTTGGTCTTATTGTCAGGGCGATTTGGTAGAACGCAGCATGTAGTTGTCATCATTTCCAGCATCAGACAGTGGGCTTGGTACAGCCTCAAAGGTGTCGCCGACATCGTAGTCGGCATCATTCGTCCGTTTTGCCATTCTCCTTTTCGGAGGAGGTCGACTTTGAGGGCGAGATGGAGGTTTCTTCGTAGCCCAGAAGAGCACTCGTCTGTCGACCAGGCTTTGTGCGAAAGATACGCATTGTTCTCTCCAGCCATGACAACCGTCTCCTCCTTCGGATTCGGACAGGATGGCTCGCCCTTCGGTTGACGGGGCAACAATCAGCTCCAAATGCTCCTCATGCCGCTATCCCCAGCCCGAACGACGGCGGCAGCTCAGTCTCGTCTCGAGTCTGTCGAGTGATCCTAAGCCCGAATTGGGGTTGCACGGCGGGATCTGGCGGATCAGGATCAAGGGCTAAGCAGCAATGTCACTGAAGTTTCCCACTTTTTCATCTACAGAAGGGCAATCGACAAGCGCTCGGTTGACTCGATTT